GTTTCATAATGAGTTTAGTTTATTTAGCTAACTTAACGTTAACGTTACAGTGAACAAAATTAACGTACATGATGGTGAGTAACCGTTAACGTTAACTTAAGTGAAGGTCAGAGCTTACCTTAGTCATTTCACCTTTACTTCAGTCTTGTACTGAAACAGAAAATGCAGTTAACAAGAAGTTAATTAAAGAAAATTCCCTTTCTTTTTTCAGGAACTAACGTTAACGTTATGCTAATACCTCAGAAAACACTACAAGCACAATCTGGCGTCGTTAATTTCTTGTTTTAAAAAAAGGCGGGCTTAAACCCTGTACGTGCGAGTACAACTAAAGTACTCGGTAATTTCCTGTTAAGTGACATGCACTATACAGAAATACACATACAACAATCATTTAACGGACAAAAGTCATATTTTAACACTTACCGAGGATGAATCCGTTGGGTGAAGAGATGACGCAGGCGTTGTCTGTGGTGATGGCGCTTGTTGCGGTCGAGTCGAGTCAGTTCTGTTCAATGAATCGGCTCCTTTAAGTGAACAGTAAAGAGTCGAATTCGGCTCCTTTAAGTGAACAGTAAAGAGTCGAATTCGCCTGAAAACGATTCCTTTTTGTATAATATTGTAAGACGCAGACATATAATTCATTAATATTTCATCATATTGCTTGGTTCGTGTACTGCTTGTACACAAATTGCTTGTTGATGACTATGAGCTTATGAACACGTCTGATAACTGAATCTGATTCAATGTCACACAAGTCCTGAACCGAAGCAGTGCAAAAGTAATATATTGATTAAAATATAAAGTTAATTTTTTTCTTCGCCATTCAAAATATTACATATCTCTGACTTTAACAATAAGAATAAAGTTCGTTTGGAGTGTATTGAGAATTATTATTTTTTCCTCCCAGGATTCATTTCGCACCAAGCTGTATCAAGCTGTAATGGTGGATGAGATGGCACATACTATTATAAATATTGCTTTTAATATGTAATGAAATAAAGTTTTAACACTTTTTCATGCGAGAATGTAGTTCTTCAAAACTCAAATCTGTGGATTGTTAGTAAAGTTTGTGGGTAATTTTAAGTGTATTCTGCCGGTAGCGGAGATCTATGACTTCCAGGCGGTAACGGCGCTCATTACTCATGTATCCGCCGAGAGGCGCCTGTCTTCAGGCTAGACATTGGGACAATTGCCCCGTCTTCGATGGCTCTATATGCGTCCGAAAATGAAGTTTTAACTGTTTTTCATGCTAGAATGTAGTTGTTTAAAACTCTAATCTGTGGTTTATATATATATATATATATATATATATATATATATATATATATATATATATATATATATATATATATATATATTCTAAGATTAGTGACCTCCAGGCGATGACAGGTGCCCAATACTCATGAAACCGTCTAAAGCAGACATTTCCCTTGACATTGAAATAATTGTTGGCTGTTTAACAGTCTTTGGTTTCATTAATTAATTACTTTTAATTCCAGTTTATTATGTTTTGGCTAAGCACACAGTTATGTTCATTAAATATTATTTCCTATTCTATGTTAACTGTATAAAATTAAATAAAGGTGCAGTACAATCAAAAATATGTTGGTAATCAAATCGTTTTGGGGGCTATAACATTCTGTTATTATCTGTTAAAAGTTAATTTGTATTAATTTCTACGTTGAGTTAAAAAAAGGTTTGAATTTCTATAACTAACGTGCAAAACATATAGCCCTTTTCACAGTAATTTGCTGTATTCATGCTACCTGCCGTAATTTCACAATAAAATTATGAATACAACATATTACTGTGAATTTTTCAGTTAAATACTGTGAAGGGATACTAATGTAATTTACTGTGAAAAATTACAGTAACTTGTTGTGAAAACCTGGAAATTTTTTACAGTGTAGGCGAAGAAGAAGAAATAAAAGAGCACCTATTATAAACCACAATTAGGAGGCATTAAAATAATTATTTAACTATGAATAAGTGAAGATTATGTTTACTGCAGACCTAAAACTGGGCCCTCCTTGTGTTTGATGAAGTGTAAACTTGCACATCAGGATTCTGCATCGATTTTGGACAGATAAACAACCTACAGACATTGCTAAACAAACGAGGCCAACTATACAATCAGCTAAAAGGATTTTCCTCAGGAATTTCAGATAATGGAAGTATTGCTTTTCCAAAAATGTAAATGATTCATAATGTAAGACTTATTCATGCATATCTGAATCATTACTGGTAAAATGCATCTTCAGTTTTCCAACTAACAAGGATTGTGCTCAGAGTCACTAGCTAATTGTGAGGTTTAAGGTTCTAGCGAGCTAATGAATAAATCAGCACTTGCTAAACAATATCCAGAAGCTAGTAAAACCTCACAATAGACTCCAGTTGTGAGCGTGCCTTCGAAATAGCTGAGCAACAAAACAAAAAGAACTAGGTCAGTGAAACCGGTTGGTGGATGAGAAGGACAAGGGCACAGCTGTTCATGTGGCGTGCATAAAACACCTTTTGCTCTCTAAGCTCGTCTTTTCACTGGCTGACAGTCTTCACTGCAGCATCAAACCCCCGGCTTCTGATTGGCCGGCAGTGACATCACCAGAAAAAGCGGATCACTCCCACTGGATGATATTGATGTCATGTGTTGCGAGAGATACTGCCCCGCCTCCATCTCTACAGCGCCAAGAGCACTCGTCCTCTGTGGTCTCTTCTCTACCACTCTATCATCTTTCCTGCCATTCTATTAAAAGGACTCAATAAACCACACGTAATTACAGTGTTTCAGAATGACTCTCTGTTTAATTTGTTCCCTGGCAACAATTCTGTATTTTACCTGGACAAATTCAACATAGGTAGCAAATATAACGTTTATCTGCATGCTTTCTGTCTGCTATTGTATGGCTAAAAATCCAGTGTTAAAAAGAAATGGTAAAAAATAATACAAAATAAATCATTTGCATGAGCATTGAAAGAATGCTGCAGGATCAATACAAGCTCTACTGACAGCATTTGCGACGTTGTTGATTGTTTTATTTAAATAGAATATGACAAAATAATAACCAAAAAATAATAAACAATATTATATATTGTTTAAATGTATAGCGAGCAATAAGTTGCTTGCTGCAGTTTACTTACATGTTGCTAAAAAGTTACTAAATAGTATTAAAACATCAATCTTCGTGCTTTAAGCCTAATTGGCTTCACTTTATTTTGCACCATTTCCTTTGGTAAATATAACTTTAATGGGCACCTATGATGAAAATCAGCTTTTGTGAGCTGTTTGGACTAAAGTGTATGTAGGTATAGTGTGTCCACAGTCATATTAAAGGGATGTAAAGACAATATATTTACTTTTAAAATTTCCTGACATTAAAAAAAAGATCCAAATCCCTCCCATTTTGAGGCCCACAGCAACGTGATGTAGGAGTGCGGTTTCCCTGCCCACTGAAATGATTGACATCCGCGTATTACCATGTCTCCATAGTAAAGCATATCAAATGTGTTCAACATTGAGTATTACAAGTTTAAAACGTTTTAAAAACAGTGTTTGAAATGAATTACAGCGATTTTACTTTATCACTACAGCCGCATGTCAGTACAAGAGACGTTTTAATCCCGGTTTGTTGACGTTAAATCAGGTTTATTTTGTACATTAACATAATGGATCTCTATACAGCAGTGGATATTAACGTGTATCCTGTCACATTTGCGGTGCAGGAGTTAAACGCATGTGCTGTGTGTGTGTGTGTGTGTGTGCATGAAATTTGTAACGACATTGTGTGTGACTCGTCATCGTAGAAAGGCTTGAATTAACTCCACAACAAATAATCATTGGGATATGTTCTTACTGTAGCATTTCTCACAAACGTTACGTGAGATCTGCTTCCTTCATGTTTGTCACTGTGCTGTTTATCTGATGCAGCAGGAGACGGAGACACAGGCCATTTCTTAATATGCATTATTCAGCAATCTTGTGTCTTCAACTAACAAAGTTCAGTTCCGAAACTAAAGACCTCAAGAACGGAGGACGCGTAAAAGTTCCTGGATGTGTTCTTAGTATAGAGGATGCACTAATGCAGACTTGAGCACCGACCTCGCTCTGAACGCCTCAGAAGTCATTGCAATTTTTTAAAGTTTAGAGATATAATTATTATTTTTTTTTATCTCAGGAATAACCCTAAATAAGACAGTAAAAGTAAATATTACCATAAAAATCTTAATAAAAGCATAAACACATTAAGGGTGTTTATTTGCTGAAATTTGTATTATAATCTGTATTATTTGTATTGTGCAAAGTATATTTGTAAGGTTTTTGTGCATGTTATATATTTATTGAAGAGGGGAAAAACTGCAAATCATTGTATGAATACTGTAATGTTTAAATAATTTTCAGTTACAAACGCGTGAAGGTCATGTGACCGGTCAGGAAGAACGAAGCATTTCATTTCTCACAGGATGAGTTTTGTGTTCTCGTGGTCTCCCGAGTTAGTTCTTTTGAGGTGACCTGGCAAGACACACTCTTACAGGCATGTGGGAATGGTGGGCGGGGAGAACTAGCATTAAAGGCACAAGCAACAAAACAGCCACAGTGTTTAGAGCAGAACATTTCAATACTCTGAAAGGTATAATAAATAACCTGATGGGTGTTGTGAGCTGAAACTTCACAGACACATTTTAGAGACATAAAAGACTACTCCTAAATCTTGATAAAGGGATAAAATAGGTGCCTTTTAACAAACACTGTTGTAAAAGCTTGATTTAGACTATGCTCAGTCTGAAAACTTCTCTAAATCTTCAAACAACACATTTAAAAATAAAAAGAGAAAGAAAAAAGCTTGAGATATTGAAATGATACTGTCAGAAAAACCCTATCCTAAAAAAATCTGATTGCTTTGCATGAACAGGAATATCCCTCTGAGCATCTAGTGTGGGTGAAAAAAAAATGCCGCTTTAGGAAATACTGCTGACTGCATAAGTGGGAGAGGGAACACACTGACCTGCTGCTGTCACAGTCTGAGTCCTTGTTGAGAAGGCTACGGATAGACCAGCGAGAGCGCCTGCTTAGGGAGGAGCTCCGTGACCATGAGCGGGACGGGGGTAGCAGAAGCACGCAGGGGTTACCCTGCTCTTCATCATCAACATTACAAACCATTGAAGAGGATGCAGATGCATGTGATGGGCTTCTTTCGAGTTCACCTTTCCGTTTATCACAATGCTTTGCTCCTGATTTGTCCTCTTGCTGTGCCTTGGCTTTCCTTTTCTCTCGGCTGCGTGAGCGGTACCGATGCGCACGTGGGCTTGGAGAGCGCGACCATGACTCCGTATCGGACGACGGCGGGAGAATGTTCAGAATTGGAATTGAAATGGGCTCAGCAATTAGGATTTCAGGTGGTGTCGTCATCGCCATCACTAAAAGACCTTCATACATCACCTGTTTAATGAGAGTCTACTGACAGTTTCCTCGAAGACAAGTTTCATCACGCATAAGCGAAGCTCAAGATATTTCCAACTCTCTGTTCTCAAGTCTTCTACATCTGCTCTGGAAATTCCATTAGAGCCCAAAATAAATATTCCACAACGGAAATGCAATCTGATGACATTTGAAAAGGTCTTCTGCATCCATTACAACTGGCTGTCTTGAAGAAAGAAGTCAGCAGTTGAGTTTCCTTCACAGCTGTACTGACAAATATATATATGATATAATTTCCTGCAGTATGAACTTGCAAAAATGGGGCGGAGCCATCACAGATTTCTAATATACACAAAAGGGTGGAGGCATATCTTCCAGTAATAGGTCATTTTTCAAGGAAGAACAGAGCATTTCTGAAGTTCAAACTTGCTAGATCTCAAGACTGCTGGAAGTCAAATCAATCTTCTTCCTCTTTCGCTATTAAAGACTTCCTTTATAATGTCTCTGCCCCTTTTTCCTTTGACAAAAATGCAATTTTGCAATCTGTCGTGTCATCGAGGTACGCACATCAGGTATGATAAGATCACATTGCTGAAAGGAGAAACTGTGTTCAACCCAAAATTAATAAAAGGATAGAATTTCTTTAAATTGCTCATCCTTAACATATTTTCAATACAAATATTTAAACGTTTCCAAATTTGTGTCAGAGAAATTTGGTTAGTAATGTTTCCTGTTGGATGATTTCCTCCCATATTATTATGATATTACTCCTCTAAATGAGATCAACATTGATGGAGCAGACGAACAAAAGAAAAACAAACATAAAATAAAGCTTTAAGTGTGTTTAATACATGTAAGACATGCGTGGAGTAACTGTAAATTGAATACAGTGTAAAGAATCACTTGCCACCTGAAAGCTTTAAAAAAACACTAGAGAAAACTTATGTCAAAGACAAATAATCTAAAGTAAATACAGGATTGCTGAGACACTTCCCCTTTCTCTCAAGGGCAAAAATGTCCCACTGTACTAAATAATAAATGGAGTGACTCAACACAAACACATTTATAAAGCTAGTGAGATTTTAATCCGGGCTTGACTCAACTAGAGTGTAAAGCTGCTTAATCAAATGGAAAACATAATAATGAAATAATACTATATTCCTGAGCGTCGTCATTAAAGCTGGGTGATAAATTCTATCATATCAAGATCACAATCAAATTTGATGTTGACAACAAAGAGAAGCTCTCAATATGGATTAATCTGTCATATTTTCACACCAGAAAAAACACACGTCAGCAGCCAAATAACAGGTCTACATATTCTGTGTGAATAAGTAGGACAGCTTTGTCTATAGTAAACAAACACACATGATTCTAAACAGTGTTAACAGTGTCTGCGTATCAATAAACGAGAACCATTCTCATGAACTTTATCTCCAGCTGTTCTAAGAATAAATTTGACAGTCACTTTATATTAAGTGGTCTTAACTACTATGTGCTTGTATCAAAACTTATATTATACTTACTGTGTTAATAATGTACTGCAGAATACTATAGTTGCTCATAAGGTGGCATACGAGTAGGGTTAGGGGCAAGTTTGGTGGTATGGGAAGTGGTATAAAGTAACAAACTACAAATACTCAAATTACTGTATTGGAGTAGTTTTTCTCAGGAATTGTAATTTACAAAGTAGTTTTAAAAATGTGAACTTTTACTTTCCTTTGAGCACATTTTTAATGCTGTATCTGTAATTTTACTCCACTATTTTCCTTCAACCTGGAGTCACTACTTCAGAGCTCAACAATAAGGACTGCCCGGTGGCCCAGGGCCAGCAAGAGAGACGCTTGGGACAGTAGACAGGATCATTACTGGCGCGATTGAGACAGTGCTGCCTTGTCACTAACATTTAATTTGTCTGCGACTATTTGTTGGTTGTGTGCATTTTAAGTTTGTGCTTTTAAGTCTTTAAACACTACCTTCTATGTGATGTCGTAAACACCATATTGCTTTCCGGTTCATCATTGATGTTTTGAGCATGCTATTTTTTTCCATAACCTGGTAACAACCAGTGCAGCGAAGAAACTGCAACGTGGCGGTAACATCAAGTTATAAGGCTAAAAAAAAATGTCTGGGCGACGCAGTGGCACAGTAGGTAGTGCTGTTGCCTTACAGCAAGAAGGTCACTGGTTCGAGCCTCGGCTGGCTCAGTTACCGTTTCTGTGTGGAGTTTGCATGGCTTTCCTCTGCGTGCTCCGCTTTCCCCCACAGTCCAAAGACATGAGGTACAGGTGAATTGGGTAAGCTAAATTGTCCGTAGTATATGAGTGTGTGAGGATGTTACCCAGAGATGGGTTGCGACTGGAAGGGCATCCACAGGGTAAAAACATGCTGGACAATTTGGTGGTTATTCCACTGTGGCGACCCCGTGTTAATAAAGGGACTAAGCCGAAAAGAAAATGAATGAATGAATGAAAATGTCTGTTTCTAACGTCTTGGAAGCAGAGATTTAATTGTGAACAACGCAACAAAAAAATGAAGTGATGTTTTGCACAGTATGCCGTCAGGTTGACAAGTCAGCCACCTTTTGTTAAATAATTTCGAACCGCAAGAAAATACCTCCACATTTTCCATACTGCTCTTTTTGTTTGTATAACACTTTTATTAACATTTTTTAAGTATTCAAATTCCAGACTCTCAGACTTTTATATTTTTGACACATTATTTGAAATATGCGGCTAAAAAATAGCTATTAACTTCCCTTTTCTTTTGGTGGGGCCAGTGAAAAATTTGGCACTTGTCTATGGGGATTAGAAAAATCAGTCCTGTGATTCCAGTTCATTCAAATCACACATAGAAGGTAAATCGCCTCATAATGAACAACCTCAAGACATAGGCGATTTATAATTTCATTGAGCTGTTTGGAAGCATTAAAAGTGTCCTAGAACATGTATAAAACTTTTACACATATTGACCCAGAGACTGTTTAGATGCATGTCACTGTTGAGAAGATGAGGACAGAAATTGCCTTAAACACCCAGCAAGAGAAAAAGAATAAAAAAATAAAACAATAATAATAAAAATTATTATTATTATTATAAAAAAATAACAATAAAAAAGGAGAAAATGGAGAAAGGAAGAAAAAAAGTGGCCTTGTTCACCGATACTTTTATACTTTATTTTAAAGTTTCCTGAGTGGTTAAGCACTGTGTATTATTAAATAATTACTTATGGGTAGGGCCAGACCGGAATCTGCAGACATTTTTTGCTATTTCTGCGCAGAATTTTGTTAAAAATCTGCGGATTTTTGTGGAATGATTTTGGCAGTATCATAACTAAAACCTTAATATATGTATGAAATAAAAGTAATATTTTTATTTAATGTTTACTATGCACATCCAATTAGATCCACTTTATTTGGTAAACAAAGCAAGTCTCTCATATATCTACTAACAGACAGAAAATATTACTTTACACTGTAAACAACTGTATTGTAAAACTGTAAAAACACTGTAGTTAACAACTGTATTGTAAATAAATCATATGAATATTTTCATATTAGTCAACATTAACATTACTGAAATTAATTTAAAAACTGAATAAATATTAATTTACACACATTTTACACAAGTAAATAAGAATCAATGATGGGCTAAAAATCAGCAAAATTCTGCATGATTCTGCAGATTCCGTGTGGGCCTTATTATAGGCTACTTGCTATGGTTAAGGTTATAATGAGAGCTCGGTTTAGGGATAGTTGCATATAATTATGCATAATTAATTGTAATAACGATAGTAAGTACATGGAACAAGCGTAACGGACATTTAAAAAATAAAGTGTTACCAAAAATGATCATCAAACATACACTGAATCTACATCACGTAAATGAAGTTTGGTTTTCAACTTTGACTTGAAGAAATTATTAAACTAATCTATTTTATAATAAAGTTCCCTTTTTCAATTAGTAGAAGAACTAATCAGAAAAAAATATTATAATAATTTAAGGAAAATTAAATGTTTTATGTTCAGCATTTGCATGCTTTGTTGTAAATGAGTTGCGTAAATTTGATTAGATTTAAAAGAAATAATTGCTAAAACAATAAATAAATCAATAGTCACCATTTTAATAATATATTTAAATGTAATTATAAAGCAGAAAGATGTAACAAAAAGAAACAATTGCATATGCATTTTGTGAAAAAATCTGATATTGTAAGATATTTTATAAAATAATTATAATATTTAACCCATATCTCCTAGCCCTCAGCTGCATGCTATTGGATCTTATCACTTCACTTCCTTTGAACAGCATATTCATGTGACAGAAAATGACATGTAAATACAAAAACCTGTTTTTCTTACTCACCTGACTATCACATTTGCATATTATGCCTCGTAAGATTTGTGCACATGTAATGTTTACTGTGGGTAAAACTGAAAGGGGTCACAAAACAAAGTCTTTTTTCCCGTCAGCAGTACCACAACCTGGTGAGCCATTCAGAGGAAACTCAACCATAACAATACAAGCTTGCACACACATACAAAAATGCACTCCTGCACTTAAAACTATTACCATAAGAATACCCACTGACAATTTTACTAAAAACAAAAAGGACAGAGTTAAACACTAGTAACATATTCTGTCACACACACAAAAAATAGCCAGATCAGCAGTCATCAATCTTGACCTTTAAAACTGTTAAGAAACTTCCTGATTATTATCAGATTATTAAGATATAAATTCCTCCTACAGACCAGTTTCATCACCAGGTTTCAAAACAAGACTGACAGCCATTTATCCAAGGCAGGGACAAGATCTACCACTTTATTTACTCTCCTGTTTGAACAAGCCAAATCATGTTCAGGTTTTGTTTGAGCAAGTCAAACCACAGCTATTAATACTTTCACTTACACATACAATCAGTTCACAACATGCAGTAATTAAAAATGATTTTACGATCAATATCAAATTCAAATGAATAAAGGACAACGATGACAGGTACTTCATAAACCTAATTAGAGTCAAATAAGTCAAACTAACAGTAGCACTATATCTTCTGCAACTATGACACAACAACAAATGTTGATCATTTAATTAATAATAACAATGCCTACCTTCCATTAGACGAATTTCCCCCATTGTTTTTTTCTTGTTCGGCCTCATAAACCAGGCGGGCGACAGTACGAGGGGTGATGTTAAAATCCACTTTCTCGTAGGAACACATCAGCACCCCTACTTTAGCCGGCAAGCTAACAAAAAAAGTATCTTTCGTCGCCAGTTTTCAAATTTAGTCACTTTTTTCTAAAGACGAATTTAATTTTAACGTCGAGTCGACATTATATACGCAGGAAAATGCGTAAATGACAAATCAAACTTAAGTAAACAAACCATGATAGGGGTTAGCGGTGCTAACGAACCGGTCAGCTGTACTATTCAGACAGTTGGATCGGATCCTAGACGCTAGTTGGCTGCTAGCAGAATGCTAAAGATACCGGTGGGAGAGAAAACGGTCCTCTGTTTACTTTTTCTCATCCGTGATTTCGCCTCTTCGCCGTTCTAAACTCACAATCGCTGGACTAAATGAGGATTTCATAGTTAGTTTTATGAAAATATGCTCGTTAAATCAGGAAGCCATTACACATTTAATACACGAACTTTTCTAAACTTTAAATGCTCCGTGAAGAGATAGTAGGATTGAACAGTTTCCAACGAAACGGGCAAAAAAGTGACAGGGGTGCATGTAGACAACAAGACGCATAGTGGCAGTTTGTGACTTCAGTAAATTAAGGTTTGAATCAAAAAGATGAGAATATGAACTATGAATACTGTCGTTATAAAAACACGACTCAAAATGGCATAAGTTATTTAACGGAGATTATACTTGATTACATATACCCCCCTCTTGGTATACGTTATGGTACGCTCGAGCGAGAACTCATCAAAAGGCTCTTCAGCGAACACAGACAGAAAGTAACGGGTGCTTTTGGTGTTTTGTACAACAGGCCTGAACAAACATTACTCATTTTAAATAGCTATAAAGTGCTTACAATTGACAGAATAAATTGGTTATTTTAAATATTTGAATTAGACTATATGCTCATATTACCAATGCTTTATTAAGAGCTGTCAAAGTGAATAATGTTTCATAGCAAATTATAGATCAACAAAAAATTATATATGAAAAAAAAACATTCAATTAAGGAAAATATGATTATTATTTTTAAAAAATCAAACATTTGATTAAGATATGCATTAGAATTATACAAACTTGGATTTAAATAATAAAAGGATATTTATTATTACAAAATAATTAAAGAACAAAAATATTTCCATACCCCCATAGATATAAAATTTGAGTAAATGATACAAACCTTAATATAAATGAACATTAGATTCAAAAACTAAATACAAATAAGATAGAAATGTTAACTTTTCTTTTAAAAGTACATAAGTCAATCATGTTAATTACCATAATAAGTAAATGTGTAAATAAATGCTTGTGTTGTAAACACCTTCTATATTTCATTTAATCCCTCGATTTTATTTCTTTTCATTATGCCTATGATTTATTCGATTACTGCGCCCTCTTCAGGACATTAAGTGTAGCGCGTTTAATTCAAATTAAAGGATGAATACCTTAATAAGATGGGAGTCCAACAATATTACTTTGTACATTAGGACTGTTAGTAATGTAATAGTCATCCTAAAAGATTAAAGCATGAAAACATAGTTATTAAATTTCTTACCTCGATTGCTTGTATCAGCAAATATCATTTTCATTATTCTGTCAATCATTGCAAGATGCATTTGGAAATTATTTTCTCACCAGCCCTTTTCTCCCCAAGAAGGTCACCATTCGGCTAAAGAAAAACACAAACAATTTATATTATAAATATCCTCAAGGTAACTTTTTCCAGCCCACATGAAAAAACGGTTACTACTATAGGCTAATTTATAGTAAATACAGTGTTCCAGTGTTTATGAAGTGTATTGTTGTAGCCTATATAATATAGAATTTACAACACTTTCTCAATGAATGCTTTGGCATAATGTAGTTTTAACTAGTGAACTGAAAACTAATAAATAGGCTACTTTACTACAGTAGGCTATGCGGTTTATTGTATATGAGCAATTCCAGGGTTATGGATGTGACATTTGCAGTAAAAGAGAAAGTATATGTTAATGTTATGTTGAAATATCTGTTTATATTTTTCAAAACAACTAACCATAGAGTGATGGGATCAGAAAAATATCAATCTGTAAAATTTTTTTATATTTTAAATGAGGGAAATAAACAAGCGTTATGGATTTGACCAAAAAAAGTTAGCCAGTTTACAGTATACAACATAAATTCAGTAAATTTATTAATTAACCTGCACAAAACAAAAGAAACAATGATAATTAAAAAGATAAGAGTTGTTCTTTATAAAACATAAATGACTGATTTTATTTTATTTGACATATTTGCATTTATAAGGAAAAAGCTTCACTATGGATGTGACATCTCTTTGTTGTGGATGTGACGGATGTGAAATTGGCACTTGTGTGACTTTGATAAATCAAATATAAATGTTTCAACACATTGACAGACATTTAGGACATTCTACCAGAAACGTACATTTTCACTTTTAAAAAATGTGACAGGGCCTGACTTAAGCTTGTCGTCCTCGAAAGAATCATACAAAAACAAACATAAAATCATTCAATTCAATGACAGAACACATCCTTGATCAATGTCAACTTCTTCTCCGTCAAATGATGTCACTTCTGAGTTAAAACCTTAATGTAAATGTAACAGGACTGACAGAAACACAGTGAAAATTTAAATGTATTTGTATTATATTTTTGTAGTATTTATTTGTAGAATTTATTTATAGTTATTTGCTGTTTCAGAAGTTTTTTCCCTTCTAAATAACTATTAAAGCTGTAGGTTCAATTGGGCTGAGAACAAGGACAATAACAGAGTTTGTACAGTGTAAAGTGTTGTTAATACAGAACAAGAATCTGAGAAGCAAATGAATGACATATTCCTTTACAGAACAACTCACAGAAATCAACCATCAGCCCATTTTAGATATTCTTGGGATGAAATACTTTTTATTCACTATACTTTTTTATTTCAGGAACAGATAATGTAGATTTCAGGTAAAAGGTCCCATTTTTGAATGTTTTTAAGTACTGTAAAATACTTGCTTACACAAAAAACGTAGAAATGGTTTTGTTATTTTAGTGACTAAACTTCTTTTCATGGCAAGGTTTTTACATATGAGCAATTCCAGCGTTATGGATGTGACATTTGCAGTAAAAACTCAAGACATAAACTCACACAGAAAGTATTTGTTAACATTATATTGAAATATCTGGTTATATTTTTCAAAACAACTCACCACAGAGTTATGGGAGCAGAAAAATATCAATCTTCAGTATACAGCCTACTTTGTAGAAATTCTATGAATTAAACTGCACAACCCAAAAGAAATGCTGCTAATCAAAAGGATAAGAGTTGGCTAACGATAAAACAAAAATTATTTATTTTATTTTACATTTTTTGCATTTATGAGGGAAAAGCTTCGATATGGATGTGACATCTCTCCATTATAGATGTGACAGATGTGAAATTGCCACTTGTCTGATTTTGGTAAATCAAATATAACTGTTTGAAAACATTAAAAAAAGACATTTTGACTATTTTAAAGCACTGTAAAATACTTCCTTGCACACAAAAAAAAACAAAACGCAGAAACAGTTTCGCTGTTTTGGTGAAAACGTAATTTTTTTCATGGCAAGGTTGACATTTGCATTAAATTGCTCATATTAATATATTGAGGTAAACTTGGTTTTATATGTGTACATTCATTCTGTGACAACTTTTGACATGCTCCCTATATTGTTTACCATGGTAATTTGAATATTCAGTCTGAAATGACATGCAAGTATGACTTGAAAACAACAAAAGCACTATGTATTTGACTGTGAACAATGATGTACTTTGATAGTCACAGGCTGCTGATATGATTTCACTATTTAGAAGAATATTTTTGTGAATTTATATTATTAAGGAGATTTTTTCCTATGTCTGAATGTAAAACTAACTTTACCTCATTTAAATATGGTTGTTGTAAACTACAGTATTGTATAATTTGTTTCTATTAGGCTACTATAGCAAATATACTAGAATTACCACACCAAAAACATTAGCCTATATTTAGCTAAATTATTAGTTTTTAGTGAAAACTGATTGTTAAAAAAACAACAAAACAATTTTCTCAGCAGTGAATTTGAATGATTCAACCACCGAGCTAAAAGTTAAATATTATCCGTTTACGTTGTGTAGGCTGGAGAATGTAGACAGCAACAGATACAATTGTATGGTTCTATCTAGCCTATACATTATGCCATAACTCATATTCACATGCTCTACATTCCAGTTTGTTTTGCTTACAGCTTTCCTACTACAATCAGTTTTCCGCGAGAACATTTACTTCATATAATATTAAATAACCTTGACTCACCTCTTAATTCGCATTTAGGCGTTTCGACACTTGCCATCTCTCTGTCTCACACACACAAGGACATAAACACACACGCGTGAGTCGTCTTGTAGCCTGGAGAGAGAGATATTCGTTGTGCCTCTGTTAGTCTGCTGACAGTGAATGGGCTTCTGGAAACTCGAGCTCTGCTAAATATAAAAGTGCACCAGCTCGTGGGTCCAGCAGGAAATCTAATGTGCAGCCCACTCGTGTGTGGGGAGGGTCTGACGCTAGAGCCTCGACGACCAAAACAACAACCTTCACTTTATCAGTCAGTCCCTTAAACCCCTGACGCAATCTGTGACATGACATGACAAGTCAGGGTAAATACCTTTTACGCGAACACGTGCATGATCTGAAGGACAGTGATTTGACAGAAATATAGCAGAAGTTAAAATGCGCGGTTGTAATAAGGGATATTTTACCAGAAACGTACATTATCTGAAATAAAAGCATAAATAAAGTAAATAAAAAGTATTTCATACCCAAATTTCCAAAATATACTGAGTTGTTCTGTAAAGGAATTTTATTATTCATTTAGTTCTCAGATTTTGTTCTCTATTAAAAATACTAATATTCAAACCCTGCCATTGTCCTTGTCCTCAGCCCAACTGAACCTACAACTTCAATAGTTTTGTTATTCTGAAAATTGTTATTTAGAAAAAAAACACTTCTGAAACAGCAAGTTTAATTTGTTATCATTCACATCAATTAATTAAAAACAAATAAATTCTACAAATAAATACTACAAATATATAATACAAATACATTTACAATTGTCCCCATGTTTCTGTCAGTCCTGTCACATTTGCATTAGATTTAACATAAAATGCATGCAATACACGTTTAAGGCTGACATAATTTGACGGAGAAGAAGCTGAAAGTGATCAAGGATGTGTTTTGTCATTGCATTGTATGATTTTATGCTTTTTTGTATGATTTTTCTGAGGACGACAAGCTTAGGGCTTTGTGGCCACATACGTGTACAGCACATTTTAGCTTTTAAGCGGCTATTTAAAATACTTTGAACGTTTTATATTTTGGTACAGACATATAGTCATCCTGCAACTGTTTTGCAATGTATGAAATGTCTCAAACACTATTTTTAACTGTACAAAATGGGCAATTTTTTAGTTTTTACTCTCTGACAGTCAAAACATGTTCAATATATATGTGTGTGTTATTAATGAATAAAAAACAGTCAGGAAAAAGACATAATTTATCTCAGAAAGTACATCATATGCAAGGATGATACTTAGGTTTTATTCTAATTTGGGTTCCAATAAGCCCAAATGGTATAGTATAGTATAGTATAGTATAGTATAGTATAGTATAGTATAGTATAGTATAGTATAGTATAGTATAGCATAGCATAGTATAGTAAAGTAAAGTATAGTAAAGTATATTATAGTATAGTATAGTATAGTAAAATATAGTATAGTATAGTATAGTATAGTATTACACTGAAAAAAAAACATTAATTGAATTTTCTAACTTTTTAACTTGGTTGCTAACAATTTATTTGGACTGAATTTTAACAAACAAGTTAGTAATGTTCAACTTTTGTTTCCTTAAATTCAGCCCATACTAATTTTTTTATTGGTCAATCCAATGAATTGTTTTATTTTGTAGTGTATAGTATAGTATAGTACCTGTTTAGGGGATTTGTAGTTCCCAGCATGCTTTGCGCTGGATTGAATTAAGAGAGGGAAATGTTGACAATAAAGGTAATCTTTAAAGGTGTTTAAAGTTAATAGAAAGACTTGTAAGAGTTTAATCTTCACTTCAGTTTGAAGATTTTTATGTAAAGTTTTGAGTTTTGAGATTGCCACTTTGCAGAATCCCCTAGCTTTATGTGTTGGCAGCTTAATTAGCAAATATGCAGTTTGTTGCTTTGTTCAGTAAGCAAAACCTTTCCTAAATTGGTTCTGGGATCAGTCTCAATCAACTGCATATATAACTCATAAAATTTGCTTAAAATTTTTCTTTTAGTTTATTTAAAGATAACTTGAAATAAAACTAAAAGACTTCGAAACGTACTCATAATAGACATAAATGATAATATCAAACCTTCAAGTTTAAGTTAAATATAAACAAATGTATTTTAACTTTTATTTAATAAAATCATCATGTTGGGCCAACTTTATTGCATTTAATTGTGTAAATATTTTTTTTTGTTGGCATTAAACAAATTTATTTCATGGAAATCCGGCCCTCAACTAAATTGAGTTCATCCAGAGTTATTTTTTGAGTGTATAGTATAGTATAGTATAGTATAGTATAATATAATATAATATAATATAGTATAGTATAGTATAGTATAGTATAGTATAATATAATATAATATAGTATAGTATAGTATAGTATAGTATAGTATAGTATAGTATAGTATAGCATATATTATGGTACAGTATAGTTTAATATAGATTGAATTAATCTGTTGTGGTAATGATTTGCTATGGGAACAACTAAATAATAATATAAACATATCAAATACTGTATTTTTCTACAACTATATACTTTATAGAACACTGCAGTAAAAACTAAATTATACTACAGTATTTATTACAATTTTTCAGTCAACCACAGTTAACACAGTATGCTGGATATTTCATTCACATAGAGTTGTATATATAATATGGATACATATGTAATAAACTATAGAGTATAATAGACTTTAATATAGAATTTACAACTAATTATTTAGTATTTAGTATATAAGACTCTTCATGAAAATGGCATACTATAGTAATTTGCACTGTACGTGTTTTTGAACCAAAAATGTATATAGTTTATTATAATGTGTTAGTTATAATACTCTATGTGTTAATGAATTATAGAATTAATATTGTGAACCTATAAATTGATTTAATACTGTAGTATATTTTAGTTTTTACCACAGTAAACTGGTGTAGTACAGCCTATAGTTGATAATATGTTGTTGTAACACTACAAAAACTATTTTAAAAATATCACAACAGTTTAAATCAAGTAATTTACTAGACGATTCAAAAACACAAACGGTACTCTAAATTAGTGTAGTTTCTATTTTTGGATGTGTCATTACAAAGACTAGATGACTGAGATAATGGAATGATAATTTTCCATTAGGGGGTATTTATTTAACCTTGTTCTCCAATGAAATGGCCTTGTTGTGCACAAGACCAAGTAAACTGACACCGAGCATCAGTTCCATGAAAGAAAACAATAGAGTTGTGTGATTAACCTCAGCAAAATAAACCTGTTTCACCACACAAACACAACTTATAGTGGCTAAACCATTTGAAGTCATCCTCTGGAGATTTCAATGATTATTTATGTTATTCATTTATATTAGTATGTACTTTATTGTTAATTATTTATTACAAATAGAGTACGCATATTTAAAATGACAGTTGTGCCGGCTGCACTGTGATCCTTAAGCGATTTTTTAAAAAGTCATTAAATGATCATTATTCTTAATAGTTTGTAAAAAAAAGTACTGAACATGTCACTATTTTCCCCAGAAAACATATTTCTAAAGGTGCTGTTGACTTGAGTTTTTTACCAGATGTCATTAACTACTAAAGTAATCCATACATGCAAAGAAAACAAAACTAGTTTGTTTAAAAAGCAAGTTATGTGTACTAAAATCATATGACACAGGGAAAACGTAGGAAGAGACGTGTACAAAGGCTCATTGTAAATTAATATTATCTGCTTCAGTCCAACACCTACAATACCAGATGATGAAAAAGAAACCAATGTGGACTTTTCAGCAATACAATGAGCCCAAACACTGCCAATAAAATTCTCAACTGGTTTAAGAAAAGAAAATAAAGCTGCTAGAATGGCCGAGCCAATCATCTGACTTTAATCCAACAGAAAATAAGAAGTAAAGATCAAGAGTTCATAGACACCCACAGGACCGTCAAGATTTGTCAACATCAGGCTCATTCTGAAAATGTAGCCCTATATACATTTCTATAGATAGTACATTATGTAGCCAGAGGTATGTATGGCTGCATTTCATCTTTAAAACGGACAGTGCAGGGCAGTATGATGCCGTTTCTTTTCTAGCTTACTAGCTGACCACTTCCCTCCGTATGGACAGCTTTCCTGCTGTTACCAGTTTGTCCGGTATCTCGACATGCATGTCGGCAGACATGAGATGCTAAGGGGAGTTGACCACGACAACAGGGTTGGAGTCTGGTGAAGAATAGCTCAAGAAAGCAGGTAAGATAAAAACAAAAGCTAAAAAGTTTAATAAACAAGTAAATAACAGGGTAAGAATGTGGTAAAATCTAAAAACGTTGTAAAAATCAGAGAGCTTTTCTTTTTCTGGATTGCATTTCAAAACAATGCAGTTGGGTTTAGGGAAGGAGTAGGATGAAGGTAAACGTTGGTCAGTCAGTCAGTCAGTCTGTCAGTCGACAGCGGCCTATGGTGGATTTACGAGAGAAGAGCAGGCGCGAATGGCACTCACGAGTGAAATTTGAGATCTGACAAAGCATACACAGTGGCCTCGGTAGATTCGCAAAAACAAGAAATGTATATAAGAGTACGTAATCAGAATGAGCCTGGGTTGAGATTTGTATAGACTAGTCTAAAAAAAAAATGCATGCGACTCCATTTTCCATAAATGAGGCATCTTGAAGCATCTTGTTATTACAAATACAGCCTTTTATAAGTATTAAACCAGTTCTCTTTTCTTGTTCAATTTTCTCTCCTTGTATTATTACCATTGATATTTAATAACTAAATTTTCAGATTTTATTGTTTAGGATTATTTGTATGTTTAGCTTGTTTTGGGGTAAATTCCATGTCAACAGCTCTTTTAGAAATATATTTACTAGAAAAAGTCATGATGTGTTTAATACTTATTTTACCTGCTGTATGGCTGACAAGATGTTTTAGTTGATAAACTTGTTAAAGTTCCAGATTTTACCTTCTGTGAATCATGTAAATTATACACTACCTGACAAAAGTCTTGTCGTTAATCCCTGTTGTAAGAGCAGAAAATAATAACTTGACATAGTTGATCATTTGGAAAAGTGGCAGAAGGTAAATGTTTCTGATGAATCATCTGTTGATCTGCATCCCAATCACCACAAATACTGCAGAAGACCTGGAACATGCATGGACCCAAGATACAGTCAGGTTTGGCAAAGGAAAAATCATGGTTTGGGGTTACATTCAGTATGGGGGTGTGCAAGAAATCTGCAGAGTAGAAGACAGCATCCACAGCCTGAGGTATCAAGACATTTGTGCTGCTCATTACATTACAAACTACAGGAGAGGACAAATTCTTCAGCAGGATAGCACACCTTCAGCCTCCACATCAAAGTTCTTTAACGGTCAAGGTGCTTCAGGATTGGCCAGCCCAGTCACCAGACATGAATGTTATTGAGCATGTCTGGGGTAAGATGAAGGAGGAGGCATTAAAAATGAACAAAGAATCTTGATAAACTCTGCATGAACTCCTGCATGAACGCTTTTTTTTTTTTTTGCTTTTCCAGATGACTTTATTATTAAGTGATTTGAGTCATTGCAGAGATGTATGGATGCAGTCCTCCAAGCTCATTGGAGTCTTACACAATATTAATTCTTTTTCCACTGCAGCATGACTTTAAATTCTATATTGTACATTATTTCTGTTAAGTGACAAGATTTCTGTCTAAGCAAAGTCAAACCTTACTGTACTAGTTAAATAATTTAGAATCAAGGCATGATCATATTTTATTTTAGTCAAATAAGTGTAATCTAGAGGCCTTTGCCTTCATATCAGCCACATCTGATAAAAAATGATCAACTAGAAGTCAAGTTATTATTCGCTGTTCCAAAAACTTGGATAGGTGACAAGACTTTTGTCAGGTAGTGTATGGGAGTCATTACTTTAAAAAAACAAACAAACAAAAAAAAAAAAAACAAGACATTCTAATTTAAATTACATTTAATGTTGCGTTACACATTTTTAAATGAACTTATTGGAGACTTGAAAACATAATTAATCCATATACTTTAAAAAGTACAAAAACTCTCCTGTGGAGAACCTTTGCAGCTTGTAAACCAGTTCTCCTGTATAGCATCTTTAAAAAGCACCTCCATTGTAAATTTACTCGAAGCTCATTTGCCAGTGAAATCCTGTGGAAATCTAAGCAGACATGTTTTGCATGCTGACTCTGTTTTGTATCCCCTATGGCAGCTCCCATATTGTAAAATGCTAAAAAAATAAATAAATCTATTAATGCTAATTCTTAAAGGAGAAAAAATACTTTTTATTTCACAGGAAAGTGATTTTTAAAAAGCATGAAGTATGTAACATTTGAAGTGATTGTAGTTTACATCTGCAGCTGTCTAACAAACAAGGAGTATGCAAATGTTTTCCTAGTACCATAATATACATTATATGTTATACGAGAGGAGATATACAACTTTTATAACAATTTTCCAAATTCGTTGTTTATTAATTTTTAGTAGCACAACAGCTGGAAAGATCTTATTGTTGTCCTGTATGTAAAATATATGATTCAATGTTTGAGGTAAATAAAATAGAAATTATTCACTGATTGGTTGATGATTTATGAATTACTATTTGATAAAATTGTGTTGGACCAAATCTGTTGTATTCATTGTGTAATATGCATCTTGGCTCTAAACTAATTTATTAATTTATTAATAATTGTCTAAATAATTTAAGCTCGTCTAATGGGTAATTTGTGTATGTGTGTGTTCATTTCTTAAGTCTAACTAAAAACATAAATATATTTTCATAATATTTGAACATTGGAAAGCATGACAGACATTGGTTTATGTGCTGATTTAATGTGGCAAGCCATTTTAACGCTTAAGACCTATTCACACTAAGTAAGAACAATATCAAGGAGTATATTGAAAACTATATTGTCTGTTTAGCATGATGACAACACTAAGTTTTTTTTACTGCAAGACAAGAAAGGGATATCAAAACTAGTGCTAGATGTCAAAACTAGTACCTTCCCACCATCATTACAATGGTATAATAAATCCACGGCTTCCTGATTTTCTGTCCAACATTTGAATTTTCGTTATCATAAATGTTTTCCCTGTGGTTTGAACTTATTGCTTAGGATAAATAATGACAGTATTTTTTGTAATGAATAATAATAATAATAATAACAACAACAACATCAATTCCTTGCATTTATACAGCACTTTTTTTTTTGGAGACTTAAAGTGCTTTACACATTTTTGGGGGGAATCTCCTCATTCACCACCAGTGTGCAGCATCTACCTGGATGATGCGACGGCAGTCATATTGCACCAGACTGCACACCAGCTGATTAGTGGAGAGAAGACAGAGCGATGAACCCATTTGTCATATGGGGATGAAGGCCATGATGGAAAGAGGCTAGAGGGCAAGTTTGGCCAGGATGCTAGGGTTAAACCCCTATTCTTTTTCAAAGGACATCCTGGCATTTTTAACAACGACAGAGAGTCAGGACCTCGGTTTAATGTCTCATCCTAAAGAAGGAGCTCACTGAGCAGTATAGTGTCCCCTTCACTATACTGGGGTGTTAGGACCCACACAGACTGCAGGTTGAGCGCCCCTTGCTGGCCTCACTAACACCACTTCCGGCAGCAATATAGCTTTCCCATGTGGTCTCCCATCCAGGTGCAGCCCTGCTTAGTCTCAGTGGGCGACAATGTGATAGTTGCAGAGAGCTAGCTGCCGGCTAAACAAAAAAAAAATGATAATAAAAAATTTCTAAATTATTATTATTATTTTTATTTACTGATAAATGTACTTTAGATTATAGGCTGTATAATAGTAAATATTATTATTATACATTTATTAAAATACTTAATTGTGTGAAGTTGGATAAAGTAATTGTTTTGAATGATTATAGGCAAGGCAAGACAAACTTTATTTATAGAGCACAATTTTACACAACTGTTGATCCAAAATGCTTTACAATCAAATAAAATATTTAATAAATAAAATATTATAAATAATAAAACTTGTATTAAAAATATAAGAGAAAAAAATTATATGTATATAAACAGAAATACAGATATAAAATGCATGCATCACTTAAAGGCAATGGAGTAAAAATAAGAATTTAAATTAGATTTAAAAGCATCCAATGATGGAGAAATCCTGATGTTCAGAGGGAGACTGTTCCTGTTATCAATCTGGCAGCTGCATTCTGAACCAACTATAATCGAGACAATGTTGACTGAGGTAGACCAATGTACAGAGAGTTACAGTAGTGTAACCGGGTGGAAATTAAAGCATGAGTTTCAAATTCTAGAACTTTTTTTTTAGACAGAAACAGTTTAACTTTAACCACCAATCTAAATTGGAAAAAGCTGCGTTTACATGCTTGTCAAACTGCAAAAGTGGATCAAAAATAATTCCAAGATTCTTGGCGTGATTGTGTTTGCTGTCTTTGACAAAATTATAAAAAAGTAAGCACTAGCAAGACACTCTAAAAATCTCATAATCTAATAAATACAAATTACACTAAAAAGAGTTTGCTGCAGAAACAATATTCCACAGAGATTGCTATAAATAGCTCAAATATTTAAATGGAAAGAAGCAGATTAAGTTAAACTCAATTTGGAAATAATATTTTTTGTCAAGTGTAATTCATTAATTCATTTCTGTACACTTACATTTCTTTTTTCCTTGTAATAAAACAGAAATAGGCACAAAGTAACACTTTTTGGTTTTGGCCAAATAATGAATGTCACTGTTTTTTTTTACATCTTTCAAAATGGTTTCATCTTTTAGCCTAGAAGAAGGTAATCACGACAATATATTTTTTTACTTACATTCACAGATTTTAAATAAAAATAAACAAATAAATAAAAATCAGCTGTAAAAAAAATACTTTTATGCTGCAAAAATGTTTCCTCTTGTGTTTCTTATCCAAAATTTGCCAAACTTTTTCATTAATTGTCAGGAAGACGTCTGCCGACACTGGTGAAAACCTTGGAAGCATGCCATGGTCAACCCTGAGCAAACACCTTAAAAGTCTTACATTTACCCCACATTTCTTTGTGCCTCACGCTCCCCTATAAACAAAAAGAAAAATACTCATTATCATCAGAACTGATGTGATCACAGATCTCTGTAGAATTCAATGACAAAAATGTGTATTTATTTATTAAACAGTAAAGCAACTAATATTTCTAAAATGAGTATTTGCTGCAAACCAAGAACTAAATATAAAATAAAGGCTGAATAATCGTGGCTAAATGATAAAAAGGCCTGCCATGTGAGCAGCAACTGGACGCATCTGAAAGTCACTTCTCAAATTCCGTCATGATTGCGAGCACAAGGATTCACACGGTTTATAATTAGCTCTCCTAAACGTCAAAGTCTACTGCAAGACACTGTCTGTTTTACTGTGACGCGATATTATTTCAAAACTTTTTCAATAATTTGGAGGCTGAAGGATTTATTTAAAAGTAATAAATACTGAAGAAATAATCGTCTAAAGCAATGTCTTTTGGATTTAAAATAAGAAAAGTTATTGTCGTCTTGTAGTGTGTGGGAAACTGAAAATAAATAAGACAAGACTTGAGACACGGTATTTCAAATCAGTTTATACAGCAGTGTGAACTGGAAAAATGACGCTGGGACTCATTTCGTTTTTGTCTGTTTGCATCTTTTGTATTCAAGGTAAGTTATTAAACATCCCAATATGAAACCACACTTTTAATGCTAAAATTATTTAAAGAACATAATGATGATCATATGTTTGAGGTTAAATTGGATTTTAAGTGTTAGGTAAAATTAAAGTGGATTTTTAACCTTTTATTAATCATGTGCATTTTATAGGCCATCAATAGTTAAGCTACACTCAAAAATATTTTTGCTGCTTGTCCAAACTACTTATTTAACATGAGCTGAATCAACAATTCTTGAGGTTCTTTTTTATCCTCAATCTACTTAAACTTGTAAAAACAATCAAGTTAATTTGATTGATTTGTGTTGGGACAACATGAAAGTGTGGAACCCAGCATTTACAGTGTAACATTCTATACTTTTAAAGATTCTACATTTATCTTTTGATAAAATCAGAAAACAGGAGCATATAAATTAAAACCTGTAAAAAACTTTCCAAGCAAATAAGAAAAATTCTCAAATAACATGAAAATACGAGTTAAAAACCTCCAAATGTCCATCGAAAATGAACATTATTCTTAGGCTCTTCTGTTTATGTTGAGTTATTTCATTTTGAAGACCATAAAAACAACATATTCTTAGCCATGAAAGTGCCACAGGCTCATTCTGAAAACATACCCCTATAAACATTTTTTGAGATCGCGATCTATGCAGCCAGAAGTATGTATGGCTGCTTTTCGTCAGTAAAACGCTACAGGGCAGTATGACACCATTGCTTTTCGCGGTAACCAGCTGACCGCTTACCTCCTTGTGGATGGCTTTTCTGCTGTTACCAGTTTGTAGCTTCCCACGGGTCAATCGGTGCTTTTGAAAACACTATAGGTTGGGTTTAGGAAAGGAGGATGGTGGGTCAGTCGATTGGTCAGTCAGTCATTCAGTCAGTCAACAGCAGCCTCTAGTGGATTTACTTAAGAACAGCAGGTGCGAATGGCACTCGCGAGAGAAATGTGGGATCTCAAAAAGCACAGCGCCCTCTGGTGGATTTGTGAAAACAAAAACCGCAAAAAAAAGCTCCTGATGATAATAATGAAGAAGAAAAGCCTTTATTTGTCACATAAACTTTTACATGCAGTGAAAATGGACCCCCCCAACCATACACAAACATCATACATTTCAGGGGAAGACAGGTCAATGAGAGGCAGCTTTTAGAAAGTGGAAATAAGAAACATTAGGGGAGTCAGAGGTGAAAAGAAGCCCCTCTCACACTTTCCTTGAAGTAGGACAGTGTGAGTTTGAGGGGGGGCAAAGCCCCAGCACAAGCACATAGACATCACATCGCAACAGGGGATGTGGATATAGTCCGATATAGGCAGCAGCCATCTGGTCCTGGAGCCAAGAGGCACTGGTCACAAACCCGCCTACCCACACCGGTGGGTGAAAGCACACAAAGGCATGGAATGTGGGGTTGGGCAGTGATTGTCAAGCTGCAGTTGTGTATGTGTGTGTAAGCCTGTAGAGTATTTGGCACTCTCCAGAAATGTATATAGCGGTACATTTTCAGAATAAGCCTCTGTTAGAAAATGTATACACTTGGAGCCTTATAAAAATTTTAATTTAAGAAGAAAGTTATTGTTAAATTATGACATTAAAGTCTTTAAGATTTAACCAGATTATTTAAGATTTTACCAGATTTTCTTTTTTTACAACAGTTAACCCTTTGAATCTAACTTACTAACTTGAATCTAAACTTACTCCATAATGGGATGCTCTATGAACATATTTTATAATGTAATGTAATGTAATGTGTGTATTTATATATTATAAACATATGTCACCCTGCAGCCCAAGACCGGTTACTCACTGAAGCTAAGCAGGGCTGAGCCTGGTCAGTACCTGGATGGGAGACCACTAGGGAACACTAGGTTGCTGTTGGAAGTGGTGTTAGTGAGGCCAGCAGGGGGCGCTCAACCTGTGGTCTGTGTGAGTCCTAATGCCCCAGTAAAAGTGAAGGGGACACTAAACTGTCAGTGGGCGCCGTCTTTCGGATGAGACGTTAAACCGAGGTCCTGACTCTCTGTGGTCATTAAAAATCCCAAGGCCCTTCTCGAGAAAGAGCAGGGGTATAACCCCGGTGTCCTGGCCAAAGTCCCTCTATCGGCCCTTACGATCATGGCCTCCCAATCATCCCCTCCCCACCAAATTGGCTCTATCACTGTCCCTCCACTCCACCAATAGCTGGTGTGTGGTGAGCGCACTGGCGCCGTTGTCCTGTGGCAGCCGTCGCATCATCCAAGTGGATGCTGCACACTGGTGGTGGTGTGGAGAGACCCCCCCTCATGATTGTGAAGCGCTTTGGGTGTATTGCCATACACAATAAATGCGCTATATAAATACACACATTACATTACATTACATTTACATTAACATATTTTATATAATTGTTGCACATTTGTGTCTTTGTACCTTGACGATTTAGGATTAAAAAAAGATCCATGATCAATGTATTTCTATCATTACCCATTTATGTCTCACCTGTAGTGCCGCAGGGCCAAACTGGATGTGCTGAAGTGGATTCCATGACAGAAGCAGTGGCAGGAGAGAGTTTCACATTAGGATGCATTTCCTGCAAAAGAAGAGAAGAAGTGCCTGCTTCTGCTATCGTGAGCTGGCACTTCAAACCACCTGGAGATGAGGAGTTCATCCAGGTTAGTAGTGCTACTGTGGATCAAAAAGCATGCTGTCAGGTTGTTCAGTCAGCAAACAGAATTTTCAACAAATGTTTATAACAAAGTATAGAGTGCTGCTAATTTAACTTAAAGGCACAGTACGTCATTTTCACCACTAGAGTGCACAAAGTCACAACAAACAATGGCATAGTTCGATGATGCAGTGACTAAGTGTGGAATCATGGGAGTTGTGGTCTTCATTTTATTTTACTGCAGAAATAATGTTCATGTATTCAACAGTTATTATCATAGCTGTATAAAGCAGAGTAAGGCTTTGATCACACTGGACGCACTTTTTGCATTGAGAGGCGTTTTGCATGCTGTTTATTGCGTTTTTGTCGTTGTGCGCTGCACCTGCAGTTGGAAAGAGTCAACTCTGAGTGGAAAAACTCGCTGTCAGTCGTGTCTTTTTAATTCTCCAATCAAATGAAAGCAGAGGCGGGGTTTCCACTGAGGTGACAGCAGTGTTTGTGTTGTCAAGACAAGTATGGAGACTTTTAAAGATGGAGGAGAGACAATATGTCGCTGGTTTGGGTTATTCGTAGCTGTGTGACTTTACATATCTTTAATCAAAATATTATAAATAAATATTACAATTCCAACAATATCAACAGCAGCGCTCGCACACAATATGCAGTTGATTGTGTGTTTGCTTAGCGACATTAAAAGCACACCCAATACTTTTTTACTTGCCATGTTTCTTGCCTCGCGTTCTTCGAACAGAAAAGCACATTCAGTGTTATTGAGCACCAAGGCTGAAAGCCGTAAAAGTGAAACAAGACGCTGAAGCAATTACAGATAAGAGACAACAAAATGCACCACAAAAGCAGCAGAGCTTTTATTATGGCACAGTTCATTGCATCCAGTTCTTAATAATAATAATAATGATGATAACAACAACAATAATAATAATAATATTAATAATTCCTTACATTTATATAGCACTTTTCTGGACACTCAAAGCACTTTACACATTGGGGGGAATCTCCTCATTCACCACCAGTGTGCAGTATCCACCTGGATGACGTGACGGCAGCCATATTACACCAGACCACACACCACACTGATTGCTGGCGAGGAGACAGAGTGATGAAGCCAATTATCATATGGTTAGGAGGCCATGTGGGCAAATGTGGCCAGAAACCCTACTATTTTCGAAGGACATTCAACGACCACAGAGAGTTAAACGTCTCATTCGAAAGATGGCACTCTCTGAGCAGTATACAGTTCCCTTCATTATACTGGGGCATTAGGACCCATTAACAGGTTGAGCACCCTCTGCTGGCCTCACTAACACCACTTCCGACAGCAACCTAGCTTTTCCACGTGGTTTAAATGGAGAAGCTGTGATAAGCAGAGGCTCGGACCTGGGTCTCTAGTGTGGGAAACCAATGTTCTACGATTTACCCACAGGAAGAGGTGATGAACCCAACTGCCAAGGCACAAGGTCTAGTTGAAAAAAGGGTGTTTATTTAGGAAGTCCAACAGTATCATCAAAAAAATGCAGATAAGCAAAAACATAGGAAGTCTACAAGACTGACTACAGCCAAGCAGATAACAAACAAAGTTCTCCATAGAGCAAGGGCACTTTAATCAAAAATACAAATAACAAATCGAAGAAAGGTAATAATTAGAATCTGGGTAGAGAACTTATGGCAAGGGCGAGAGCACATCAAACTCTAAAAAACCAAGTGATAAGTGAAGACAAGAGGGTGGGATGAATGTGCTAGTCTAACACACCACAGCTGAACAAGATTAACTCTAATGAACCCCAAACAGAAGAAACTGGCGACATCATGTGGAGAAAAACAAAAACAAACAAACAAACAATATTATTATTAAAGTGGGAGTTTTCTCATTCCCTAATAAATAATAAATATTAAATATAATTTCTTAACAAATAGCCTCATTATTTATTTGTTTATTTATTTATATGATTTATATATGATATTAGAATATGTGTTAGCTTTTGCAAGCGATTTTATGTATTAGAATAGAATATGTAATGTTCTCAATATTGTAAAAGAAACATTTGTCCTATATGAGCAGTTTACATATATTTCAATTAATATGGAAAGCGAGTGCATGTGTTTACCAAAACTAATATTGGATTTTATTTTAAATGCATGTGTGTGTAAAACAATATAATTTGCATAAAGAAATTATGGGGTTCTTCTCTAAAAGTAGTTACTCCACCCTGCTTAGAGGATCATTATGGACGATTTTTGTTACAACTAACGTGGTTCAAACAATGTATCTGCGACAGAGAAACTAAGGATTTTTGGAAACACTCGTCACTACATCTTTCTTTTCCCAAATGAGGCATCGTACAATGATAGTCAGCAGTTGCTGAAGTGTATATGGCGCCCTCTGGTGGATTCGCACGAGACAAATTTGAGATCATCAAAGTGTACACAGCGGCCTCTGGGGAATTTGCAAAACAAAATTGCGAGAAGACAAATACCTCCAGTTACATATTTCGCTGTCCTCAGAAATGTAGACCTGGGTATGTATTCGCAATGAGCCTGGCTTGTTAGTATGGCCACTCAGGACACACTCCATGTCACCAGTTAAAATGGCTTATTTCTCTTGATTTGAACATTCTTTGAAACATTTAGAATCATTTAAGTCAGCAAAATATATTACAATATTTTAATTTAAAAAATCATACATGTTGTGCCTTTAGCTAAAAGATTTCAGGTGAATGTCCTCACATCTGTTCCTCTCAGATTTTCCTTTATAGACATCCAAACCCTACCATTCTTCATGAACAATTTAAGGAAAGGTTGGAGTGGCAAGGCACCACAGGGACAAAAGATGTGCAAGTTGGCACCGTCTTCATTCATAATGTCACACATAACGACAGTGGGACTTACCTCTGTACTTTCAACCGGACACTGCATCTGTCTCTGTACGACGAGAATGTGATTATAAACAAAGAGGTGGAGCTCACAGTGGTGGATGAAGGTGAGACTCTTTTAAAGGGATAGTTCACCCAAAAAATTTAATTATGCAATCATTTACTCATCCTCTATTTATTCAAAACCTGTTAAACACAAAGGAAGATATTTTGAAAAATCAGGGTGATTGCGGAAAGTGGCACCCGGTGTGTTCTTCTGCTGCTGTAGCCCATCTGCCTCAAGGTTGGACATGTGCATTCAGAGATGCTCTTCTGCCTACATCGGTTGTAACGAGTGGTTATTTGAGTTACTGTTGCCTGCAGCTCGAACCAGTCTAGCCATTCTGCTCTGACCTCTGGCATCAACAAGATTTTCTTTTTTTCAGACCATTCTCTGTAAACCCTAGAGATGGTTGTGCGTGAAAATCCCAGTAAATCAGCAGTTTCTGAAATACTCAGACCAGCCTGTCTGGAACCAACAACCATACCACGTTTAAAGTCACTTAAATCACCTTTCTTTCCCATTCTGATGCTTGGTTAAAACTGCGGTTTGGACAGGTGTACCTAATAAAGTGGCCGGTAAGTGTATAAAATAGGAAAACATGCCATTTCAGAAGCAGTCAATAAGTCCCAGTTACCCTCATTTTTCAAAATATCTACTGTTCAACAGAGGAAAGAAACTGAAAAAGTACACAGTGACCATCATTTTTGGGTGAGTTGTCCCTTTAAGTACTGACAAGTAACAAATTTGTGTTGAGCTAGTAATATTTGTATTTAAGTTTAAAGTTTATATCTGAATTTGATGCTCCTTCTCAGCCAACCGTGAACTAGTGGCTGTGATCTCCGAGATTATGATGTACGTGTTGATCGTGGTCCTGCAGTTATGGATGTTTGGAGTGCTTATTTACTGCTATAAGAAGATATCAGCAGAGAACGAAGCTCGAGAGGCCAGAAAAGCTGCACGCTCTCAAAACAAGTAAGCCTCCATTTTTTTTTAGCCACACAACACGCATTTTTCCATTTGACCCATTTCTGATTACATTTTTTTCATCTTTTCGTTGTTTGTCACAGACTCATTGACTCAAAGGATCCTTGTGATGGCGTGTATTTGGAATAACTAGTTTTGGTTAGTAAACCTATAGAGGGATTGCACTTAAGACAAGATTTGGTCAGTTGCAAATATGCAATATGCTATGGTACTCTGATGTAAACAACAGCATAGATTGCATGGTTAATGTACCACTGAATATGTTGTTCTGCACGTTTTTGCTGTGTAAACCATGGGAGAAAAAGCATAGAAGCTGCTAAATTTTATAAAGAAGCACTTAGTAAGCAGGTAAGGGTGCAATATTTTGACCAACTGAATTTAATAGTTGGTAAAAAGAAATGTCTGATGAGTTTAATTAAAATTTTAGCTTAACATTGAATGTTGTCAATACTTGCACTGCAAATCTTGGTTCTGTTTGGCCAATTACAAACACCTTTTTGTTATATGCTTGGTTTTTTCGTTCGAAGTCTGATTGATTAGTAACTAAAACATGACAATAATTGATTATTTTCAGCAGCAATAATCAGCAAAATATGCGAGTTTCATTTGGTTTAGCGGCATTGTTAACATTTAACTTTCCAATATGGCCGACAGATGATGCATAATGAAATTATTATAAGTTTTCTATGTGATTATCTATGTATTTGATCCATAATGGTAAAGGACCTAAAATGTAAATAAGCTGACATTTCTTTACTCACCCATCAAGTCATCCATGTAATTAACTGAGGAACATCGAAGACGTCTTCTAGCTGAAACCGTTGTGATTCATCAGGTCAAACACACCTGACAAAAGTGAATAGGATCAAAAACAAACTGTAAAAAAAAAAGAAAAGGATTCTACATACCACATCTTGCATACTGTATAAAGCTTTGTCTGAAATAGTCTGTATGATGATTACTCAACAATCCACAGATGTCAGTATTTATTAAAATACACCACCATCAAACATCTTATTGTCATATTGCTATCATATTTGTACTGGCATATTTGAGCAAATTGTTAAAGGTGCATTGACTCAATATTGAGGTGCATTGACTCAATAAACTTAAAATCAATAGTCATTAACAAAGACAGAATTTTAGATGAATATAAAAGTATGAAGAGAGATGAGGAGTATAGCACTGCATTTATAATCACATACTCAAGTTGTTCCTTGAAAAAAAAAAAGTATATACATATTCATACAAAAGTTCTGTCTGGTTCTCGAATCTGATTAACTGATATCTGTGCGATATTCCAGTAATAACAGCACTCATACTCACCCTTGTGTATTACTCTGCCCACATAGAGTGACAGCAGATCAATAAACTTACTAGTTTGATAAATATTGCAGTTGTTAGACAACAATGTTCTTTTGAGGCTTTTTCAAATGGGAATGTTGTTGTTTAGATTGCAACAATGCAGTTTATTTATAAGGATAGTGCTTATTTTAAATATTTATAATTTCGGAGTCTGCATCCATCAGTCATACTGAGCAGAGTAAAGATGGTTGACGTTGTCCATGCACAAGATGGCGACAGAGACCACATAATAAGCCCTTAGAGGAGAAAAACAGCATAATTTTAAATTACAGCTGATCTAATCATTATTAAACTGGTAAATGACTTTCTAAGTCGACCTCTCTCTTTTGTATGTTGTAGTGCTGTATGTATACCATATAATTGTAGTGTATTCTGTGTGAAATGGTACTCACATATCAGGAATGTATGTATTTTGTGTTTGCCACTCTCTGTATAACCCTGAGTTGCTTTTTGGTTGGTTTCTAATGAGTTTCCTGTTTGTTTCTAACGAGTAGTTAATGAGTGTTTCTTATAAGTAGTGCCGACTAGTTCAGTAAAAAGACAGAAAGAAGAAATCCCTGCATGTTTTTAGCATTTGTCCTTATCGCAAACACAATAGTAATATATAGTGTTTGCTTTGCTTTGGCTTTTTTTTTTTTAGGTTAATTATTGTGATTGCAACAGAGAAATACTGGGAAAGCTCTGTAGACTGAAGGCATTTAATAACCTTCAACTTCATAATCTTAAAATGTCAGTAAAATCACTTTTTTGTCATCACTTTAGACATTACGCTAGAGAATCATTCAAATACTAGCTCTAAAATGACGTTTGTAAAGTAGCAATGATTTCTGCTATTCTGACCATCAGCTGCAGATGTGAATGAATGAATGGCAGAAGAAAGTAGTTCCTCTTACAAAAGGATTTTTAGACTCTCTATTTGATTTTTTTTGCAAGATTATGCTGTCAAACTGGTGTATAAACGCGATATTACACTTGTAGCAGTGCAATGTGGCTGTATTTTTGTCACTCATGGGACACTACACATGCCTCCCACCAGTGCCAATATACAGCCATATCGCACTGCTACAAGTGATATTGCTCATATATAAAATGGAAGTCAACAAAAAAAAAGACATTTTAAATAACAAATAATGAGTAAATAATGTTAGAATCTTTTTTGTGAACTATTTAAGTCACACGCCGATTGAAAATTAATAACATTATATTAACAAGCTAATAGATTATATTCACATCAGAACCAGGAATACGAGTCTGAATATTTAACTGAACAATTCATTATGATATGGTTTGTTATTTGCTTTACTGACTGTGTGAAAAAAGATAAGCTAGCGAAGACATTTCTTCAATACACTGGACAAGTGTTTCCCAAAGAAAATTTAATGTTTGTTTTTTTTTACCATGCAAATTATTGTGACATTTGTAAAAAAAAAAAAAACAATAAACAGTTTTAAAAAATATCCAAACCAATGACTTTGAGATGTGTAATTTAAGTTTTAAACAATGACATGTTATAATACAGCCATTTTCATAAATTGGTATTTCATATTGTAATGAAGACGTTTAAAAAAAAACTCTAAATCTAAAAAAAAGTATGCAGATTGAGAGGATTTAATCTTCACTCAGCATCCTCAAGGTCATCCATCAGGAATTTATTGCTCTCTCTGAGAGCATCATACAAGACTTCTTTCCCTTTGTTGCCAGCACATGTGATTGGGCCTGTTAATAACTCTCTCATCTTCTTTTGAGGAGTCTCCTTATTACGAATGGTACAGTAATCCTCATTTGTGATGACTTTTTTCTGCCGAAGTATATCTAGGATGGGGTCCACATTATTAACTCGGTCTATCAATTCTTTCCAGTGCTCATCGATGAAGTTTACTGTGAAATAAAGGTAGATGTTCACATGGTCAGACAGGATGCTGGAGATTAAAAATTAAAAAATTACATATGAACATTTAAATCGTATTGGTCAATATGGCAAGCTGTTTTAATATTTAATCTTTAAAAGCATACTATTTTTAAAGCTAACTCAGATAGCATACAAATGTGGCCCACTTTGGGTAGTTATGTGGCACTGGTGGTATTCCTTCAGCCCAGACAAAATGAATGTGAGCCTGAAGTAGCCCACCTACTTGTAAAGGGGGCCAAGGATTCTATTTCATATATGGACCATTTAAGGCAAAGATTTGGCACTTGTGGCAAAATGTAATCTGAATGTGAGCCTAATGTGGCCCATGTAGAAAATGGTCAATTTGGCCCAAATGACGAAGAACAAATATGCGCCACAGTTGGCAAAAATGAGGCATAGTCATTTAAGGGTGATCTGGGTCTAAACCCAAAGGGGCTCACATGTGTAGGTGCAAATGTGGCCCAGTTATCTTAGGAGATTTGTGGGCCACTTTTGGCAAATATTTGGCACAGTTAACTCTGCCCAATGTGGCTGCTAGCCTATAGTGACTCAGAAAAGATATGGAAAATGTGGTCTAGTTATCTTAAAACATATGTGGACCTCTTTTGGTGAATATTCGGCACAGTAAGCTTAGGCTATTGTGGATTTGAGCCTATAGTGGCCCATAGAATACATGGCAAATGTGGCCCAGTTGTCCTAAAACATATGTGGGCCACTTTTGGTGAATATTCAGCACAGTAAGCTCTGGCTAATGTGGCTGTTAGCTTAAAGTGGCCCAGAGAAGATATGACATATGTGGCCCAGTTATCTAAAAATATATGTGGGCCACTTTTGGTGAATATTCGACACAGTAAGCTTTGGCAAATGTGACTGAGCCTAAAGTTGCCCAGAGGAGATATGACAAATATGGGCAAGTATCTCTGGATAAAAATGGTGCAAGCTCAAAGCAGCTGAGGTAAGATGTGGCACGTATGGTACTGTTATCCTAAAACATATGATAGGTCATTTTTAGAAAAGATAAAGTACAGTGATCATTTGATAATTTTAGGAGTTAAACCATAGCTCTTTGACATGGCAGATATGGGTGGTAATATTGCTAATTTGTGGCCCACATCTGCCAAACAGAAGCGGACCACCCCAGAGCTATTAATCCATTAAGTAAGTGGTCTGGATGTAAGTCTCTGGTGTGGGCCGGATCTAGCCCAGAATAGGGTCAGTTCTGGTTCATTTGGTTGAATTCTGGCTGATATGCAGTATTGCTATGGCCGAATTGCGGCCCAGATCTGACAAACAGAAGCGGACTGCTCATTCCTTGCAGTATGTGGGCTGGATTTGAGTCACATGAATTTTGCTAGCTGTAACTAGTACTTACTTTTTTAGTTACTAATATCTTTTAGATTAGATATTGATTACTTTTTATTATTGATTATTTATTGATTACTTATTATTGACATACTTATTTAAATGTTAATGCTACTTAGTAGATACCAGTACTTACTTCAATTCCTTCATGTTGTCCCAAAACAAATCCATTAAGTTAATTTAATTGTTTTTACAAATGGAAGTGGATCAAACATAAAACAATTAAGTTATCCCAAAAAAGTTTAGGAATATTTTGAGTGTAACCACTCAATTATTAGTAGTGAACAATGTCACATTTTGCCATTGATATCTATGGGGATCTGTCAATGAGATATCAACCATTCAGATTTGACAATGTATTTCAATCGTGAGTACATGTTTTGCTATATACTCCTCTAGTAGTTATTCATCAGGTACCAATAATAATATTTTTACATACACAATAACAGATACTAGTGTGGAATCATTAGATCATCACTAGTACCTGCATATTAAATACATATTAAATAGACACTAGATGAAATAGTATTATAGTAAAATTATAAAGTAAAATTACAGTAAAAATATATAGTAAATTGCATTTATTGATGTGATACAAGTTTTTTTTAATTAGATAATTAGATAGTATGCATTCATTTCTTTGTTACTTGTGTGTTACTCCTCAGTTTTGACAAAAGTGTCTGCTAAATTAATACATGTATATGTTGTGTTTTTTAAATGTAGGCTACTTGTACATATCAAATAAGTATTATTATGTAGTGAATATATAGGCTACTAGTAAATCTACTTAATGGAAAACATGTCACTAGATTGAGGGCGTGTTAAATGTTAAAATGGCTTGCCATATTGCAGATTAGTGAAGTGATTCACTTACCCTTGGAGAAAGCAACTTTGCTTACAGCTGAAAAACAAATAAAAGTTATTGATTTGGTAACGCTATACAACAATTAGTTATTATCAGTTAATGTATTTATTAACATGATACATTTTTACAGTTTTTGTTCATGTTTGTTAATGTTACTTCATTAATAAAGTCATTCATGTTAACACACGATGCATGGACTAAAGTTAACAAGCATGGATTTGTATTATAAATTACACATTACTAAATATTGAACAATGATTAATAAAGGCAGTACATGTTTTGATAATTATTAGTTCATGTTAGTAAATACATTAACCAATGAAACCTTATTGTAAAGTGTGACAATTGATTTATTACAGTAAATGTTTATATTGAATGTTAAACCTCCCTGCTTTTTTGCTGATCAGTGAAGTGATCCATTACTCACCCTTAGAGGAAGCACCTTTGCTTTCTGTTGAAATACAAATAAAACATATTGATTAGTAACAATTATCAATTAGTTTGTATTAGTTAATATTACCTAATGTATCTATTAACATGAATTATACATTTATTATAATGTTTATTCATGTTTATTAATGTTAGTTGAAAATTGTTAGTTCATGTTAACTCAGTACATTAACTAATGTTAACAAGTATGAATTTGTATTTTAATAACGCATTACTAAATATTGAACGATTATTAATAAAGGCTGTACATGATTTGATAATTTTTAGTTCCTGTTAGTAAATATACTAACTAAAGAAACCTTATTGTAAAATGTGACAATTGTTAAACTACAGCAGTGTTTCTCACCCACGTTCCTGGAAGACCACCAATACTGCATGTTTTGAGTGTTTCCTTTATCCATCACACCCAGACCTTTCAGTCTCTGCCAGTAGTGGCTCTAGTTTAAATGGCACCCTGGGCGAAACCACCCCAAGCATACCCCCTTTCCATCCCCCAAGAAATAAAGACACTATGTGGTTGACTTTATATATATTTAAAATATTTAAATATATATTTTAAATATATACAGTTAAAATAATTATCATAAATACAATAAATATATTAGTATTATACAATTATTATTCTAAATAAATAACAGAAATGAATCCTTAATGTAACTGAAAAACAATGTAGAACAATACATAAATAATAATTTAAGAATTTTGCATGAATATTAATTATGACAGTTCTATAGAATACAAAAAATATATGTTTAATAGAATTATCCGTTGTCTTAGACCTGACTTATGGCCGAGAATTAATGTTATGAAGTCTTAGTTACCTCCCTGACTCATCATTATTCCTCTTTTCTGCTTCAGAGCCATGCTTGCTCAAAGTAACATCATCATCCAATGATGTAAATTTTAGTTTTGTTGAATTGCATGTTGACGCACATCGGCGTGCATGTAAACAACAGGGATCAGGAGCAGCGCCTGTGAGGCGTGCGGTAATGGCTTTCTGCGCACATGTGCCAGTTTGTTTCCACCAGCGCTCTATCGATTGCACATAGAGTATAACAAACTTGCGTGTGCAAAAGACACCAAATGTGAACGGCCCCTAACGCCTTTATTCTGGGATAACCACTCTAAATTAATACACTTGCATAAAGTAAATCTTATCTCAAACCTTTTACTGGGGCACTTTTTTTTCTTCCCATGCCACCCCAAGCAAGATACCGCCTAAGGCGATCGCCCATATTGCCATGACTAAACCCGCCACTGGTCTCTGCTAATGAGCTGATGATCTCAATCAGGTGTGTTTGGTTAAGGAGACATGGAAATATGCAGAGCTGAAGGTCTTCCAAGACCATGGTTGAGAAACACTATTGCAGCAAATCTATAAAGGGAAGCGTGGGGCACAAAGTATTTTGGGGTAAAATGTTACACAGACTTTTAATGTGTTTGCTCAGGGATGACCATGGCATGCTTCCGATTTTTTCACCAGTGTCGGCAGATGTCTTCCTGCCAATTATTAAAAAAGTTTGGAAAAATTTGGAAGAGAAACATTTTTGCAGCATAAAAGTATTTTTTATTATAGTCAATATTTTTGTATTTAATTAAATCTGTAAAAGTATGTTTGTAAAATCTTATATTGTTGCGATCACCATCTTCCAGGCTAAAAAAAATTGACCATTTTGAAAGATGTAAAAACACACTAGCCAGTTTTAGGGAAAACACAATATTTTTATTAGACAAAAAATATATTATATTGTTAATACTAGAAATAAAAACATGGTATAATAATGGATAATAATCCAAATATATCTAAATGTGTTTATCCAATGAATAAATAATTAAATAAACACACTGTGCTTTGTAGAATAAAAAATTAATTGAGCTAAGTACTGAGGAAATAAAGCTACTATTTCAAGTAAACTGGATTTAAATTAATTGTGTAAAATCTGCATTTTTAAGCACGTGTAACAACTAAACCTCTCTCTGTTACACCCTGCCTCACAGGTGGGGTAAATAACAACATTTTTACTCCTGGCATTTTTGGCAATACTGCACAGAAGCCATAAGTCTGGCGATCATACAACCTGTGCTCATTAGTAGGAGAGGTTTGTGTGTTGTTGGTAAAAAAACAAAAAACAAATGGTTTGTCTAACCCCATTACTTTGTTCATTATTTGGCCAAAACTAAAAAGTGTTACTTAGTGCCCCACTCTCCCCTACTGAATGTTTAAACGGCCTGCCACATTGCCGATTAGTGAAGTGATTCGCTTACTCACCATCAGAGGGAGCACCTTTGCTTTCTGCTGAAAAACAATAAAAGCGATTGGGTTAATTACAGCAAATATTCATTTTGCACATTCAATTGCACATAAAACTAAAGGTAGATTGGGGTGTTTGTTAATAAAGAATCCACTTTTAAGACTAGTAAGTCATTAAGATATTCTGCTCTACAAAACACTGAACTGGAAGACAATGAGTGGACGTCAAGAGAAATTGAAAGTAAAAACTAAGTTTAAGTTTGGAAACATATATGCAAATTATTTAATGAATATATTTTACAATTTGATTTCCTTTTACACAAGTCTGAAAAAGAACTATTTGCAAACAAGCAATGTTATTTATTTTCCGTTGTTTAGCTTGCAACTTGCATAGTCAATCTGATTAAACCTCTGTCTGAATTTCCCGCCTTCAGACTTGCGTTTTGCATTCTTTTACGTTGTTTTAACTTGCAATTAACAAACAGTACATACACAATTCCAATTCTGATTAAATTTAAGTTGCTTTCTTCAGACTTAAACGCCTTCTGTATTTTAGTTTTGCATTATTATCTATTCATAGCAATTGCACTTACATTGCCCTGTGTTCCTCAATAGATCATCTGCTACTGCATTACACTTGATCGCCCTCAAAATCTCCACTGTTACAGAAACCGCGTCTTTTGATGTGAACACGCCGACCATTAAATCAGCCAGATCGATCTCGTCTTTCAGCTTTTCGATTGCAGACTTTGTGACGCGCGGTTCCTGCCTCCGATCGCCCAGTTTGCTTTTAAACTTTCTAAGATTATCAGCACCCAGATCCTCAAAAGCCTCCTGCAGCTGCTCCTTGAAAGATTCCGCCATGGTTCCTCACAGTTGGGTCACTCTCGTTGAAGCTGCTGACAGCGAAGCAGGAACAACTTGAAGGTTTTTTTTTTATATAGGGGCGAAGGAGTGTCTTCAGTCCAAAGGATCCTATAGTCACACTTCCTGATTCTTAATGCAGTTTTGAAAGCACAGAAGTGACAAACACCGTGTTAAGCAGGCTACACTACCAGTCAAAGGTTTGGAACATGTAAAGTTTTGTAATGTTTTATTATATGCTTCTGCTCACAAATGCTGCATAAACAGTGAAATTGTGAAATGTTATTGGCTGTTAGCCTACATTAATAGAGCACATTCAAAACAGCTGAGCAAAATGCTTTACATACTGTAAAATGCAAATAACAACAAGAGGTGAAGAAAAGACAAAATAGCAATAACTGCTTAATGAAGCAAGTGCATAAGAGTTAAGAAACATTAACAGCAGATTAATACCTGCTAAAAGCTAAAGAGAATGAGGTTTAGTTTCATTTATTTAAGAGTTGTTTTTATATTTTAATTCATGTAATTTGTGGTTAAAAGCAAAATTTTAAGCATGATTAAGCACAGCAAACTATAATTGAAGCATTAATAAAGAATCCACTGCAATTTATTATAATTTACATTCTCAGAAATAAAGGTACAAGAGCTGTCATTGGAGCATTCATAAAGAATCCACTGCAAATTATTTTAATTTGCCTATTGAGTCATTAAGTTATCCTGCTCTTCAAAACACTGGTGTTGGGAGAGCAACGGGTGAACGTCATGACATTGAAAGTTAGTTCAGTGACAAAAAAAAATGATTCAAAAATGATTCCTTGGATTTACAAAATTTTTGCACTCGTTATTTTTAGGGTAAGCAGTTGTAAACAATTGATTTGGGCTGAATTTAAACAAACAAATTAAGTTGAAAATTACTTACAGTAATTTGATATAAAATTAAAACTTCTAAATTAAATTAAATTTAATTAGCTTAAATTCAACACAAATTGTTTGCTACAATTTTGCAGAAATAATTTTTTTCAGTGCATAATACTTTAAAAAGTGTAGTCTTGGAATAAAATTGTAGTATTTCCTAAAAAAATAAACATTTATTAATATTATTACTGTTGTTGTTAGTTTAGGAAACTGCTACAATACCATTCAAAAGGCTGGTTAAAATTGTATTTACTTTCACTGATCAAAATAAATTGTTCAAGAGTGAAAGTAAATATATTTATAAATAAAAGATAGCAAATCAATTATAAATATTATTTTGACCTTTCTTTTTCTCAAAAGTAGGTAAAATCCATCATAGTTTCCATGAAAACTAAGAAAAAAAAGTAAGAAAAAAATAATAATTGTGTAAATAACTATTAGTGATTTAGTACCAATAAACTTGTTGTGGGACACACCAAGTATAGACCGGGGGGGAGGCGGAAGAAGCTTTCGAAGTATTAGAGCCTGCTCAGCTAGACTACTCAACCACTTCTTCCCACAGGCTGGAAGAGCCTTCAACTTCAGTCAATTCCCCCTCACTGAAATTGTCCACACATGTGGCGGAATGACACTAAAGTTACACTTGACTTTCTCATCTATTACTGCTGTGGTTTTGTGACAAACTGTGGTTCATTTTCACTAGCTCACAGTGACTTGAAGTTTTCTCTGCAAGTTTCATGTGATCAGACCCTTCTGAAACTGCTCACGTTGTGCCTGGAAACTAATGCAACTGCTTTCACTTCCTCAATGTTATTCAGTCTACTTCACAGAAAGCAACAACACTGCAACTGGCCTCCAGTCATTTTTGAATACAAATGTTTGGAAAACTAATAACACAGTGGTATTATTAATATTATTAATATTTTTATATTCGAATACAGTGAAATTGAGTTTGCATTTAGTTTTACAGCTTTTGTAATAAAGTGAGCGCTAAAACATTCTCAGTTCCTCTGGATTTATTAGGTATAAGTTTGAGTAAAATATTAATATTTGTTTTATTCCACAAAAGTCAAATACATTTCTTCCAAATACAATTTTTCATTTAGACAAATTTTCTCACTCTAAAAAAATTACAACTTGTGAGAATAATAAATGTTTTCAGTTGTTGTTATTGAAAATTAGGGTTATTTGTCTCACAGTGAATCAGACGTTTATGGGTCATGTTATATAGAATAGTACCCAAAGAGCTCAAAACAAACCAACAAAAACTCAGAGGGAGATTTGGTAAAATTGCTGGTGGCCGAAAATATATATTTTGGACTGTTTGTAATGTAAATCATGGAGATATTGTAGAGATGGTGTCATAAGCTGCATTTAAAAGGCACTTTAGACAGCAAAGGGTTACAGATATAGACAACCCAGGCTCATTCTGAAAACATACCTCTACATACACTTCTGGAGACTGTCAAATATGTCCAGGAGCTGTTTTTTTTGTTTTGCAGTTTTTGTTTTCGTGTATCTACGAGGCCACTGTGTAAGCTTTTTGAGATCTCATTTCTATCGTGAGTGCCACTTGTGCCTGCTGTTCTCCCGTAAATCCACTGCTGTCAATTGACTAACTGACCAATCGGCTGACCCACCCTCCCCCTTCCCTAAGCCCAACCAATAGTGTTTTAAAAAGCACCGGTTGACCCGCCCACCCATTTCCCTAAACTCAACCAACAAATTAAAAAAGCAATTTAGAAAAAGAAAAGCCCTCGCCTGATTTTTACCACATTTTACCACATTCTTACCCTGTTAGTTGCTTGTTTTTTATTTTTTGGCTTCTATTTTTGTCCTAACTGCTTTCTGGAACCATTCTTCACTGGACTCAAACCCTGTTGTCGCAGTCAACTCCTCTCTGCATCTCGAGTCTACCGACGAACATCTTGAGCTACCGGACAAACTGACAACAGCTGGAAACCCGTCCATACAGAGGTAATCGGTCAGCTGATAAGTACGAAAAAGAACAGCGTCATTCATCCCCATATCGTTTGTTTTAAAGACAAAATGCAGCCATACGTGTTTCTGGATATAGACGTATACACTCCAAAAAAGGAGGTTTGCTGTTTGTTTAAATTACTCATTTATTACGAGTTGTACCTACACAACTCTTAAGGGTTTTTTGGGAAAACTTAATTGTTTTATGTTGAATCCACTTAAATTTGTAAAAACGATTAAATTAACTCAATTGATTTGTGTTGGGACAACATGAGTGCACAGTGTAGGGTTTTTTGAAGGTGTGTTTTTATTTTTGCCTGTGGTGTTATGAACTCTTCATGCTTTCACATAACCCAAGTCAAAAACACAGCCATGTCTATGTTAAACTGGAATGTTTTGTATCAGAACAAGTTTTTACTTCAGGGGAATCCAAGTAAACAATTTAAGTCCATTTATATATAAGTTTATCTTTCATTTTAAAAGCAATTTTTTTAGACATACTGTAAAGTCTTTTCAGGAATCATTGAAGAAGCAAAGGCACACAGGAGTCTCAAATTCACAGATGTGAACTTATAATTGTTTCTTGGCTATCAGAGTCCGGGGAACAGGTAGAACAACTTCGGCAGCGTTGCTCTGTCTTTACATGCCATTTGCTTGAAGTTTCCGATCATGTTTGGGTGTTCGAAACGTCTTAGAACCTGTATAAAGAAAACATAATTAACTACGGTGGCAAGAAAAACAATTGTAAATGAGCGATATACACAAACATACTCACAATTTATTTCTTAAAGAACATGATTTAAGGCAAGGCACTGCAAGTAAATAGGGAAAATACTTACAGTATCACAGTACTAGCAGATTTATTACATAAAAATGTAATTCTTCAATAATAATGTTTAAATACGTAAACAAGGCATTATTGGTAACACTTTACAATAAGTTTCATTAGTTAATGCATTTACTAACATGAGCTAATCATGAACAACACATGTACAGCATTTATTAATCATAATTGAACATTTACTAATGCATTATTAACATTCAAACTCATGCTTGTTAACATTAGTTAATGCACCGTGAGTTAACATGAACTCACAATGAACAACTGTATTTTCATCAACTAACGTTAGTTAGTTAGTGAAACTAACATGAATAAATACTGTAGTAAATGTATTGTTTATTGTTTGTTCATGTAAGTAAATGCATTAATTAACATTAACTTATGAACCTTATTGTAAAGTGTGACCACATTATTTAATTAAATTGTAACCAATTTGCATAAACCTCTACTGCAAACAATATGAACATTGGCTAAAGTCAAGTTCAAAATTCATTAATTTTCCTTCGGCTTAGTCCCATACTTATTAGGGGTCGCCACAGCGGAATGAACCACAAACTATTCCGGCATATGTTTTACACAGCGGATGCCCTTCCAGCCGCAATTCAGTACTGAGAAACACCCATAGACACTCATTCACACACAGAGATTTAAGGATTCTATTTTCACTTCAGAAAATTGCAGAATAAAATAAAAGTGTATTGAATCGGTCATATTGTATATGAACAAATCACTGTAAAAAAAAAAGAGTTTTTGGAGAATATTTTCTTTACATTAAACTGAAAAACAAAACTACAGCATGAAAGCCCCAATATCCTAAAATCTCAACTAGACGTGCATGAAAAAGCTGATTTTGCCTGCAGTGTCTCGGCTTAAACTGGTTAAACAGCATTTCATTTACCTTCCTGAACAGTTCCTCGATGTGATCCTCATGTGCGCATTTTATGAACACATCCACTAAGGTTTGGACATAAAACGTTCCATTCTGCACATGCCGGTAAGATTTGGTGTCTGTAAAGAAATGTTCTGAAATTAGTTCTATTTTTAAAATTGTCCTCAATAATAAACTTTATAATGCCATACATGTAATCCCTTTTGTAATGTTATGTCCATTTAAGTCTTTGAACACTTTCTTGAGGGAACGTATTTATAAATATATCAACTGTGCAAAAAGTTGAAAAAGTCAAAAAGTCTTTGTGTCTGGAATTAAATATAAATTTACTCACTCCTTCACAAGTGTTTCCAAAACTGTTTGAGTTTCTTTTTAATTCATTGAACACAAAAGAAGATATTTTGAAGAATGTTGGAAA